ACTCGGGACTGAGCTAAGTAGTGCATTTAAAAAGGGTGTGCATTTATATAGGGTGCATTTATAGAGAGTTGACTGTAAATCGTGGTTGTTTATAATTGGGAGATGAAGGAGGAGGAGTCGTAGGAATTGTAGATGTTGGGTGAGACTCGCCAAACGTTTTGCCTGTACCGTATTACAAAAAATGATTTATCAAAAGCATTATCATGATGATCAATGAAAATTAATTAGTACTTACCTGATCTGATGTAGAGATTGTATCGGAATAATTAATTTCTTCGGATTCATCGGCTGTTTGCTCATCATCATCGATCGCATTTTCGTTACCACTTGAGGAGGAAGCAGACGCGGATATCGCTTTAATCTGTAAAAAGGTGAGAAGACATTTTTCAATAAGTTATTTGTTACAAAACTATTGAGAATTACTTATGACTTCATGCCATCATTATTTCAAACATCTATGGTCACTCACTTTCTTTGATGATTCCGGAACTATTCCACCAGTAAAAGAACGTTTCGTTCTAAGAGCTTCTGGTATCTTTGAAATTATTTCTTGGGCACCATACGTCCGTGCTTCATCTAAAACTTCAATACTAGTCTTTATGTAATTACGTTGAGCCGTTCGCTATAGTAAATATCAATGACTATTAATTTCCATTGATAGTAGAATTCTTTAAGAAGGACCAACCCCAACCTTTTTACGTTCAAATATGAGATCTTCGAAAAATGTTTTCATAGACGGATGCGGATGTATCTAAAAAAAAATAAACATAAACAATATCAATAAATTCACAATACAAGGTTGATGGAGTGGGCACCGAAAATTTTCAGCAAAACCCCTGAATCGTTCTATATGACATAATAACAACCAGAAGCGTCCCCACCATCATCATTTGAGCACCGAAAATTTTCAGCAAAACCTCTAAATCGTTCTATATGACATAATAACAACCAGAAGCGCCCAAACGTACTTCTGAACCATTCTATACGACATATAATAACAGCTCTAAACCGTTCTATATGGCATATAATAATAACCAGAAGCGTCCTGTAAAAAAATTATACCTCATCATTATTTGCCAGTTTCGTATATCGTTTATACCACGTTCCGTCGAGTCCACCCCAATCTTCATTAAATGGCTCGATATCCAAGATAGAGTTTCGCATCTCATAGAAAATTGGGATATGACTGTCCTTATCGAAATATGGGACTAAAGCTGAAAAAAAGTCAACAGCACTTTGCAAATAAAATAAAACTTTAAATTTGATTTTTCTACCTTTAAAGCCTGGAAACGGCTCACTCATTGTTTCTAGTAGTAGTTACTATGGATGAATTTGGAGATGGATCAACAAGAGAAATATCGTTAAGGTCGCGTTACAAAGTTTCACTAAAGTGGTATTTTTTACGCGTTTTGAAATACAGTATATAGGTACTACAGTTTCACTAGACGATCAATGCACATGACTGCCGGTTCCGCGTTTGGTTCGATCATTATACTTAATATGCTTGAGTCCGGATCGAATTACAATCTGAAGTTTGCAGAGCATCTCTTATCATAAGAACCACATTTTGCTTGATAATTTTAACAGGTTTAGGCACGGATTTATTAAAAACCTTGTCTATAACGATTTTAACAGTATTTATTAAAATTAGTAATTTATATCAATTTATGCGTTTTTTAGCGATTTATAACAGTTTGTAACAAGTATAATATCATTCATTTTTATTCGATAAGCGGTCATACAACGTTTACAGATACACATGAATTCCTTTTTTCTCATAATTATTCGAAAAAAAGATGATTAACTATCTTATTTGTTAAAGAAAAATATGTTTGACCTATCACCCGAAATTTCTGATTGATTGTTTCAACTGCACCATGCTTTACAATACTACGTATAAAAAATATGTGAAACCACATTCAAAAAACAAAATACAGGTGTCGAGGGTGTTCGGTTGGGGTGTTCCATCAACTATGTAAATCAAAACTTACGTAAAGTATCATATGAAATTTACTATTAGAGATTTTTTGATGATCATTTTAATTTCTACCGGTTATTGGATAAATTGGAAAAATTTCCGGAC